AGGCTTTCTTGTTCCCTCTGCATCTTCTGCTTGGTCCCCTCACCGTTTGTCAGGTAGAACAGGATCAAGAGCCGGAGGCCGGGGAAGGGGGAAGGGTGGGCGGGAAGACAGGGTGTCCAGAAGCTCTGTACTTACTAATGCTTTGGGGCCTGCCAGTTTGAAATTTTCTTTGCCTCTCATTCCATTCGGGAAGATAAAGGACCCTGTCATTCCAAGCCTAATGCCAGGTTGCTGAGAGATCAAAGGGATGGGTGGTATTGTAGCCTCTTCCCAAAATCGGCTTCAAAAAGAAAAGATTACACCTCTCAGAAGGGACAGAGATGGGATCCTTTTAGGGCAACTTCCCAGTCTCAATTAGGCTCCCCGGGCAGAAATAGCAATTTCCAGGGAACTTCCCCCAAAGTTGAAATTACTTCCAGTCAAACTGAAGGTAGAAAGAAGCTCCTTTTCTCCTCTCTGACCAGGCAACGTCTCCTTGGGTCCGTGGTGTTATAGAGGGCTTGAACATCCATGAGTTGAACGAGGAGTAGGTGCCGTGTACAAGGGACTTCTCTGGAGGTTCTGGAGTTCAGAGCTTGACTGGGATGCTTGCTTGTGCAGTAAAGAAGGGAAGGGGAAAGGAAGGGAACCGACATTTAATGAAGTGCTGTACTGTGTGCCAAGCACTATGCTGAGTGCTCTACAAATATTCTCTCAGTTCATTCTGGGAGTAGGCTGATTATCGTCACTTTACTGTTGACTGCTGTTGTCTCCATTTTACAGTCGAGGAAACTAAGGCAGCCAGCAGTTACGTGATATGTCTGAGGCAGGATTTCAACTGGGCTCCATCCACCGCACCACCTTGCTGCCTCGACTAGTAGACTAAGAAAGTGATCTGGCCGTGGACAGAGTCATACGATGGCTGTTACAGAGGCATTTTTTTTTGGTTGCCAAGTGGGCCATTTTGCTAGTGGCTGGTGTGATTTCCACAGTTCTTGTCCTTTCTGATGTAGGCATTTGCCCGTGAAGCAGTGTTACTAGTTCTGAGAAGTCTAAGAACCTCGGCACCATCTCTCCCTCCCCCTCCAGTCCTCTAAAAGTCAGGGATATGTATGCCTCTTTCATCATAGGAAATCATTGCCAGTCAGGGGAGTGGAGACAGGCACCTTTTAAAAAGGCATGAAGTGCTTAGCGTTAGACCTCGGTGTGGAGCCGAGCAGGCTCCATGGTACCTTTGATTTATCCTTCTGTATCTGAGATACCGTGGGTCAGGGACATCCTCACCCCTGCACCTTCCCTGCATTGAGGCAAACTGCTTGAAGCCGGTCTTGCTGCATCCATTAGTTCTATTTTTGCCCACAATGCTTTGCTTCGCCTCTAGAGTTCATTGAAACAAGGGCTTGGGTATTTCCAGATCTGTTCTGGTCACAATTTTCTGTCTGTTTTATCTGCGTCTTTCCCACTGCTTTTTGCATCAACTGTTTTGGAAGGCTAAGTGAGAAAATCCAGCAACAGGAAAGGAACTCAAGAAAATTCAATCAAAAAGAGACCTGCTTGGGCTCCAAACTCCAAAGGCCTATCTACCATCTTTGAAGTCATTCTGCTTTAATGTACTATTTGCTGTCATCTGATTTCTTGCTATTATATTTTACTTCTGATAATGGCGCTGACATGTAACTTGGAGAGAGATACACAGAACATTGTCTTACAAGGTTCTTAATGAACTTCTGCTGTGCCAAGGCTGAGGAAGCAGTCTTCAGCAGAAAGAACTCACTAGGCCCAACTTCTTAACTAACAACTTATTCTCGGTGAGTTTTTGGCCCCAAGCAAAGGGCTGTATATACACGCTGTTCTAAACATCTTGTTAACAGTTTTAAGCTATTGAAGCTTATCTAACTCCAACCCGAATTGTAACCCTAACTCAAATTCTAAGCTAAAATTTGCACTAAGATGTTTGGGACACCCTGAATAAAGCTGCTTTTTCTAACATAAGTAGCATTATCTCAGCTTTGCCAAAAGGTGTTACAGCTGTGATAACCTTGTCATCAATCAGATTGTTCTCCCTAGAATTCAGCTCAATTAAATACACATCGAGGCCCTATTATTTGCAATACACTGCACTTGTCACTTAGGGGTGATGGGGTAGATGATAGTGTGAATAAAATATGACACTTAAGCTTTGCAACATAGTAGAGAAGATAAAACAAGGAACTATAACACAAGGTCGAACATGTTGAGTGCCATAAATGGGGCATGAGAGAAGTCCTGGTGGGGTTTGGAGAAAGGAGATTTTATATCCAGCTGATGATATCCAGCTTTGTGAAGGTGGTATTCAAGCTAGGCCTTGAAGGACAGACTGTCAGTAGATGAAGACTGGTGAAAAGCAGTGAAGTGTTGTAGAGGGACAGCCTAATGTAGTGCAAAGAGCACAGGACTGAGGTACAGCACCTAGACTCAGATCCGAGCTTTGTGACCCCAAGGAAGTCACTGCACTGCCCTGATCCTCTGTTTCTTCATCTGTGAAATGGGAATAATAATACTCGGCCCTGCTTACCTTGCAATGTTATGAGGAAGATGCTTTTTAAACATTAAAGGCCTATAGAAATGCAACTTGTTATCATTATTATTTGTATAGAACAGCACAAATAAAGGCCAGATGGTCCCATAATCAGGAAAAATATCTGTGGAGTGACAAGTAGCCCATACTGGCTAGAACAGAATGTGGGGGTGCATATATAGCAGCAGTGGGAGGTAAGGCCAGGATGATGTTAGGGCCAGATATGGAGAGCATTCAGCTCCAGGCTGAGGGCTTTAGACTTTATTTTGTTTGTTCTGTATATATTTATAGCCACGCATGTTGCCTCCCCTGATAGAACCCAAAGCAGTAAGAGCAGAGACTGTTCCACTTTTGGTTTTGTATCCCCAGGTACCTAGTTCCATGAGTGACACATTGTAGGTGCTTAATAAGTGCTTGTTAACTAATTGATTGATAGGCAGAAGGGAGCTAGTAGCAGGGTTTGCAGGAGTGAGGTGATCAGAGCCATGCTTTAGGAAAATTAATCTGTAGTAGCATGAGAATAGAAAAATGTGGGGAGGACGCTTTAGGCGCCTATTTAATAGCCAATGTGAAAAGTAGTGAGGACCTAAACTTGGGTTCTAAAAATTGGAATGGGAAAGAGAAGATACAATCAGGAATTAGTGTAGTGAGAGGTTGAGTTACTGGGATCAGGCACCTGATGAGATGTAAGGCAAGAGATATTGGAATTAGAATCAAATGTGTACATTTAACCCTGGAAGTTAGAGTATGTATGAGGGGGAAAGGGAGGAGAGGATCCCTAGAGAAATTTGTTAGTTTTGGGAGAAAATGACGAATTTGGTTGTAGTCAGTGAACGTTTATGTTAAGCGTCTCCTTTATGCCCAGAACTGAGCTATGCACTGAGGATACCAAAAAAGGCAAAAGACATCCTCGTGCTCAAGGAGTCCGCCATCTAACGGGGGAGATCACACGCAAACAACCATGTATGAACAAGCTGAAATACTGAACAGAGGAAGAGCATGAAGGGGAGATCAGGAAAAGCTGCTCGTGGAAGGGGGGATTTTAGCTGGTATTTGAAGGGAGCCAGGGAAGCCAGGAGGCAGAGATGAGGAGGGAGAGCATTCAGGGCCTGGGGGCCAGCCGGGGCCAGTGCCCAGACCTGTGAGATGGAGAGCTTGTGTGAATAATGAGGGGGGTCAGGTCCATGAACACGTGATGGAGAAAGGCAGGTAGGTTATGAAGGGCTTTGGATATGAGACAGAGGATTTTATGCCTGATTAGCCAGGCTTTCCCAGCTGAAGTAGGATTAATCAGTTCTCTATGTAGTGCTAGGAAGGCCTAGGATGCTGGGATCATGCTGTTTGGGTTGTACAGGTGTGTAGAGGTGGGGAGGATATACTGAAGTTTGTTGAGTAGGGAATGACATGGTTAGCCCTGTGCTTCAGGAAGATCAGCTTGACAGCTGAGTGTAGGATGGACGGGAGCTGGGAGAGAATTGAGGCAGGGAGACTAACCATAGGCTATTGCAGTAGCCTGGGCATGGGGTGTTGAGGGCCTTCACTCAGCCATATCAGAGGAGAGGAGGGGGCGCATACAAGAGATGCTTCAAAGGTAGAGCTAACAGGACGTGATGACAGATCGGACATGGGCACGAGAGAGAGTAAGGAGCGGTAGAGAGAGAGCTCAGCTAGCTTGTGAGCCTGGATCACCGGGACAGTGGGGTTTGCTTCAACAGTACCAGGTAAGACTGTAAGGTAGGAGGGTTTGAGGAACAAGGTGAGGAGTTCAATGTGGGACATACTGAGCTGATGATGTCTACTGGCCATCGAGTTGGAGATATGAGACTGGAGGTTAGCAGAGAGTATAAGTAGCACAAGTAGATCTGAGAATCATCAGCATAGAGAGAATTCCTTAAGTCCGTGGGAGGACCCAGCACAGGCCCCTGTGGAGACACCTGTGGTCAGAGGAGGATCCGGCAAAGGAGACACAAAAGGAGCGGTCCACGAGGTCTGAGTGTCTCTTCTAAAGAAGGCTGTGCCATCACTCAGCACCTCCTGGAGAGTGGAGAATTCTGTAGTTTAACCTGTGGCCGGAGGCAGGCCCTTGAGTTTTCCTTAGCGTCCTCAATTCATTGTGCGTGATTGGAGCGAGTTGCTTCCCAGGCTTATCCAGAAGCCACACTTTCCCTTCTGCATTAGATTTGTCAGGAAGGCCTAGACCAGAAGCTGGGATCCTGGTTTGGTTGTCTGCGTGTCCAGAGGTGGACACAAGCTCGGTCTGGAGGGACCGGGCGAGAAATGGACACGAGATTGCCATCAGCATTTCTTCACTACTCTTCGCTGTGCGTGGGAAGCACTGTGGGAGACTGCAAGGACTAGTGGCGGGGGTTGGTGCTCAGGGATGCTTTGGATGGATCTCCACTTGGAATACTGTCAGGCTGGTTCTGCTGCCTGGCCTGGCTCATGCTTAGTCTTTGTTTTTCAGCTCCACAGAGGTGGACGACATGATCCGGAAGTCTACAAACCTGCTGTTGACTCGAACACTGAGCAGCTCTCTGCAGAATGTCATTAAGAGGAAGAACGTCGGGCTGACGGAGGTGAGGCTGCGTGGCTGGGACTGCCCTGGCCTAGACTTGAGCATCTCTGGCATGTGGGGCCCATCCTGGGAGGCGCATTGTGGCCACAGCAGAATTCCCCTTCCTTTTTCTCACCTTCATCTTTCCGCCACCAGTGCCCCAGGCCCGTCTTGGTTTAATCTGTTTGTGCTTTGTCTTTCCTCCTGCAAAGCCGAGTTCTTTTTCTCCATGTCTTTCATGGGCTTAGCCAGCTTTCCGGTCAGAAGTTGATATGGTTGGAAGGAATAGTGTGGATCATTTGCCATTAGTTATATGAGAGGGATTTTGCTCAGAGGATACTCTCAACATCAGGTTCCTATTAATGTGAATGACAGTCCAAATATAACATTTTATATGAATTCAACTCTTGCCTGCGTAAAATCAAGGATGCCGAGGATCTTGGCAGTCACAGCACTTGGCTGGGGTATGCAGACCCGCTTTGGCTTTGGAAGAAGTCTCCCAGTCCCCTCCAATCCCCTCATGACAGGTAACACACTTTAGCAGCCCAGAATCTGGGGATCTTTACAGGCAGGGAGACTTCCATTCAGGGGTCTTAGTGGTAGCTGATTCTGTCCTCCAAGGAAAGGGGACAAGTCGTGCTGTGTGCTCAGAGCTCCGTCCCAGCCTCCTGAAGTGCAGGCCAGATATCTGGGGGCCTTTTGGAGTTTGGGGAAAACCATTCAAGGGAGTGCAGCAGGCGAGAGCTTTGTTAGCCAGCCGGGCACATAGGGGGAGTCGCAGGGGTAACCCTGGCCCCGGGTACACAGCAGACCTGGTTACGAAGGTAGAAGGAAAAGGCTCTGGAGGTGGGCTTCATGTAGTGAGGTGTCACTCGTTAAGTTTAGCGCTTGGTTGCAGCAAGGATGCGTGTGTGCAATCTGAATAAGAGAACAGTTGGGTTCTTGTTATCCCGGATGATGGGCAGTGCCCTCCAAGAGTTAGTGCCAGGATGCTTGGGGATTCAGAGAGAGAGAGGGAGAGCTGGAGGCGAGTGCTTGGGTGCATCTAGATGGTTCTTCTTCCTTCTAGGCAATTAAAGACGAATCAGTCATTGTGGGGTAGGACGTGGGCTGTCTTGTCAGAGCTGATTGTATGTTTAAGAGGTGGGAGAGATCCTCGTGATCATCCATTCTGAGTCTTTCCTTTGACAGGTGAAGAGACTGAGGCTCAGGAGGGGAGTGATTCACTGAGGGCTGTCTTGCTCCCCAGCCTCTGCACCCCCAGGAGGTGCAGCAAATTACCCTGGGGGGTGGGGGAAGTTGTGAGGAGAAAGGAGAGCTCTGGGGGAATTAGGTTCTCTTTGGGAAAGAAGCTTCATTTTGTCATGGAAAGTCCTTGTGTATCTGTGACACTCTGTTTTCTCATCCGAGTAATGGAAGGGAGATCGCTTATGTTCTGGCCCTTGTAGGGTTGGCATAAGAAAAGTGCTGGGGAAATGTCAGTTGTGAGATTTGTGCTGGGGGTCTTTGTGGGAGTTGCTGTCTGTGTGCTGCAGTGCCCCCAAAGACCGGCATGTCAGCTCAGAAAGGACCACCCACTTGCTGCTTGGATTGTCCCCATTCAAACCGACAATCATCTCCTCATTTTGTTCAAGCCACACAGCAGAGTGCTGGCTTGAGACCTGAGCCCTGGAGTGTTAATTCGGACCTCCTTCCTCTGACATACTTTGTGACCTTGGAACTAAACTCTGAGCTCAAGAGCTCTGGGGGAATTTTTGTGCCTGCTTTTCCTCACTAACGGCGAATGGTCATGAGGCAGCAGTAGGTCAGAAGGTCAAGGAGCTCCCCAGGAAAGTTGGTCTCAAGGCACTTGATTTCTGAGAGTAGTTAGTAAGCATCTGTACAGATAGTACCGGGCTCTACAAAGAAAGGTTGCACCCAAAACTCTGGGAGAGCCTGGCTGTGTGGGCAGTGTGGAGAGGGCTAGTGATCACTCTTTAGATCTTTCCAGCCACCCAAGCCATCAGTAGCATCACTCTTTAATACATCCACCACCCTGAGTGCATATAAATATAGTAACACATGTACATACACGCATACATGTACCTACGTACGTGCATACACACATACCTATAAGAACGTCTGTGGCTGTGCCACTACTTACCCCAATTTCCACATCCTGATTCATGTCATACCTACATATGCACGCCCTCCCAGTTTATGTCCCATTTTACTTTTGTGTGTATTTTTCTCCCTTATTTAGACGTTCAGCCTCATCAAATGTGAATGCGCTATGAATGGCTGCCCAAATGAGCCATTTCTCCTACTGAGCCTCCTTACGTCACATCTTCAGTGATTACACTGATTGGGCTGAGAAAAAAACAAAAAACATAAAACCACAATGGAGTCCTGTTAGGACTGTCCTGGACATTGACTTCCTTCTCCTCAAGGAAGCTTGCTCCCCGCCCCCCGCCCCTCTTCCCCCACTTCCCAAGGTGTTCAGGATTCTCTGGCCGCTAACACCGTGCCCTGGAGCAGTCGGTCCTCCGCCACCCCTACCCCAGCTTGGCTTTTCTCTTTTGTGTCTTGTCTCCTGCTCTGAGGGCAGAGCCTGGCTTTCTTTTTGTATGCATTGGTATCTTGGGTGCTTAGCAGATGCCTGGTACGTGATAGGCTCTAGGGAAGTCTTAGTTATTAATTATTATTATTAGTCAAGACTTAAAATGGCATTCTTATGGGAACAATAAGAATATGGGCATGATGTGAAGAGCATTCCCATCATGCTTTGAGGCTGTACAGGTTGTCTCAGTGGATGCTCTCATGATCATCCTTTTACAGATGAGGAAAGTGAAGGTGACATTCACCTGAGAGAGGGCAGCAGGTAAAGACTTGTCCAGGGACCCCCAGCCGGGCCCGAGTCTTACCCACTGGGCTCCCTGGCTGCCTGGTCCCACTGCTGTTCAGTGCCGGGGGTGACTTCAGCTTTTTCCCAGCCCACCTTGCTGTTTTCTCCCCTGAGGGCGTGATCTTCAAATTACCCAGTAGTTCTCCCAGCCTTCGCTCAGGTGTGATTGAGATTGGTGACCCTTTGACTCTCTTCCTCTTCTTGTTTTTGGTGGCCGTTGAGGTGCTGCTGACATTCATTATTTGCAGGGTGCCACCTGGATTCCTAAGATGTGTGATGTCCAGGCTGTTCTCCAGGCCAGGCCTTGGGAGTCTGCAATGCCCTTTCCCACAAGCTCAGTGAAGCCAGTGAGGGGGTGGAGGGGCCTTAGCCTTGTGGGGTCAGTCTGGCACTAGAACAACGGAAGAGTCCTTGCTGTCCCCGAGGGAAGGGAGCTGCTGATTTGTACTCTTGTGGCCTAGCCTTACAGCCCCAGCTCCAGGGATACAGAAGAGCCATGAGGCCTTCCAGCATATTGAGCAGCACACCAGAACCTCGGGCAGGTAGACCTCTCCTTCTGTCGTGAGCATGGACACCCGGGGCATGCCGTGTGGGCTTCCAAGCCTCTGGGAGTGAGAGTAGAAGTAGTTCTCTGGAGGACTTGGAAAAGCATCATGGAGTCGTAGAACTGGAGTCAGGGCTTGGATTCTGACGCATATTGGTGTGTGTCCTTGTCTGTAAAATGAGCGGCCGCCCCGGTGTCTCCCAGTCCCAAATCCTATAGCTTGTCCATCTCTCCTGGAAGTGCTTATGTCTAGGCTGCATTCCTGCGATCCCACCGGGACCTAGGGGCTCTGGTGGTTGAAGCTGGACATGGGTGAGGGGACCTCTGCTCGTCTCTCTGGTTCCTAGAGCCTCCAGGGCTGTGCTGTGTCCTGTGTCCGGTGTCCACTGCACTCACAAAACTGACCTGGGTGAGGATGACCTGAATTCAGTACAGGAGAGAGAAGTCAGTTCCGCACTCCAGGGTGAGCCCTGTCCTGCACATGAAGCTGGCTCCTCTCTGTTTCATCGTGCGTGGCCACATCACAGGAGAGACTCAAATGATGATGAAATTTTATCTCTGAGATTGTTCCTACACAAGTAACTTCATGATTGACCCCTCCCCCAGAGCATCTGCTTTTTCATTTGCAAATGCCCTTGTGAGGTTTTTGGGAGCTGTCACTCAGGAGCACAGATTGCTTAGAGCTTATTAACAGACAATGTTCCCCTGAAAATGACACAGTATCTGCTGTAATCCTAGGGCATTTTAATAGTCCATTCTGTGCTCTGCCATGAAACATTTCCAGAGTGACTGACAGCCAATTGGTGTAATTCATGGGGATCTTTTGTGTTGACAGTTTTTGAAAAAGTCGTGGGAAATTATAACGTACCCAGTGAAGCCGGTTTTTTTTTTAAGCTGCCAATATCATGAAAAACAGGACAATCTTCTCTTTGACTGTCACTGGTTTGCATTTGCGATAACATGACACGATCCCTCCTTCTTATCAGGATTTCAATTTATAGACAGTGCCTTTCCTACAGGTAGCTATGCTCGTTTTAAAATAGAAACTCTTCAATTTTCCACATTGATTCTCTGTCGTCCCCCCCAGCATCACAGTAATCTTGTCAACAGCCACCTGTCCACCCTCACCAGTCAAGGAAGGAGTCAAGCGAGACTTTTATTGATTTTGTAACTTGTTTCTTCTCTTAGGTGGGGCACAATGTGGGGGTGACCTGATTCACTTTTTTCTGCTTATTTCCAAGGATGCTCTGACAGTTTGGGCATTTTCAGATAGAACAATTTGGGGGTATCGAGGGGGACTGTGTCCAGGAATCCTCCTCCCAAAACCTTGAGATTCTGGGGTAGCTTCTAAATCCAGACTCCTCTGTAGAGCTCAGAGAATTACCTGTGTCAGTTTACCAGTTTACCTGCTATTGAAGGGCACCCATCACAGGGGCTGAGGAGAAGCAGAGTTAGCCAAGCTCTGTGAGAGTCGGCTCGTGGCTTTCCCAGAGCGCCAGCCCCAAGATTTCCTTAGTTCTTCATCTTTTGGACCCGCCTCGGGACTGGGCATCACAGTGTCTTCTTACCCTTCAGTCTCTATGGAGTATGAAAAGCTGATCAACAGCTCCCACACACCATCCCTCCGAGATCCACAAGCTTTTGTGTCTGTATGTGTCTGAAGAAGACTCACAAGCAGGAGAAAGGTACATGTAATTTCCCCTGGATATTTGCTGAACTCCAAGGTTGAGAAAACAGATTTCAGATATACATTGGGCTCTTGAGAGAGAGAGAGATACTGACAGTCCCCTCATCTGTAATATGGGATTAATAATAGCACCTACCTCCCAGGGTTGTTGTGAGAATCAAATGAGATAATAATGGTAAAGTGCTTGGCACATAATATGCACTATTAAATATTATTTTTATTTTGTTGTTGTTCAGTTGTTTCAGTTATGTCTGACTCTTTGTGACCCCATTTGGGGTTTTCCTGGCAAAGATACTGGAATGGTTAACTATTTCCTTTTCCAGCTCATTTTACAGATGAGAAAACTGAGGCAAACAGGCTAAAGTGACTTGCCCAGGGTCACGCAGCTGGTGAGCAGATGAGGCTGGATTTGAACTCGGGAGGCTGAGTCTTCCTGACTCTAGGCCCAGCACTCGGCTGTGTCACCTAGCTGCACACCATCATCATCATCATCATCATCATAATTGTTATTAGTATTACTACTCTGCAAGTATAGTAAATAAAACAATATCATGGCATCTCCCTTTTTTCTAGCTGTACCTGAATGGAAAGTTCCTCTCTACCATTCCCCTCTTGAAGGGTGACCCTGAAGGCTTCAGACTCATTCTTGGTGGTGTGAGTGACCCCCGTTCTTTAGGGGAAGCTTCTCTGTCTCCCGTGGACTAGATAATAATACAATTAGTGAATGCAGAATGGATGGAATAACTAGACTGTAGGAAGTTGTTAATAGTTCACTGTCTATGTTTTAGATCTCCAGTGGAGTAGCCCAAATCTGTATTTGAAAAAAAAAAAAGCTTTCAGACAGACTGCCTGTGACAGGCCATGCAACCCACAACGCTCCCAAGTACCACTGAACTCGATTATTAAAATGTAACTGGGAAATACTTAAGTAAGTAAACATATAATAAAACATAGACAATACTGTATTTTTAAAACAAAGTCAGTATGTGGCCACAGTCCTTACTTACAGATTAATGGCTTCCATTTCTGTTTGAGTTTCACACCATTGGGCTAGACCACTGGGGCTGTATCTAAAGAGATGAAATTCAGTGGGGGTAAATATGAAGTCTTATAATTATGTAAAAAAAAAATTTGTTTCACAAATACAAGGTAAGGGAGGTGTGGTTAGAAAGCAGCTGTTCTGAAAAAGGATCTGGGTGAGTTAGCGGGCTGCAGGCTCACTAGGAGTCATGTATGTGATGGGAACAGCCAGCAGAGTTAGTACAACCCCAGGACGCACCAAGAGGGGCACGGCTTCCAGGAAGCAAGAGGTGAGAGTTCTGCTCCACTTGGCCCTTGTCACACCTCATCTGGAGTAGTGCGTTCAGTTCTGGTCCCAAAGTTTAAGAAAGACCTCAATAGGCCAGAGGGTCTCTAGAGGTGGGCAGCCAGGATGGTGAGGAGTTTGGGGTCCCTGTCATGAGGATGACTTGATGGAACTAGGCTTGTCACACTGGAGAAGAGAAGATTCACAAGGGGCACGATAGTGATCTTCAAACCTCAGAGGATGGAGAAAGGCATGAGATTTATTCTTTTGAGCCCCAGAGGGCTTTTGACAGTGTTGGGCAACAAGTCAGATTTAGGGTCAAGAAAGACTTCTGCCACTTAGAGCTGTCTAGAGAAAGAGTGGGCTGATGTCTGAGAGGTGGTGAGCTCCCCATTCTTGAAAGTCTTCCAGCAGAGATTGGATGACCAGCCCATTACTTGTTTGGTATGTTATCATTGAGACTGCTTTGGCTCCCAACTCGTGCTTCTGTGATTCTGTAAATTATGGATGGAGTCACTCCTCTCAGGCTATAAAGATTTCATCGAGCCTTTGATCAGCACATCTTATGTTGAGTACCATTCTCCCAATGGACCTGGGATGCTTTGCTCTATGAGTCTGGAAAGCTATTGGAATTGTCTGAGAAGGGCATTCAGAGCTTTAAGAAGTATCACTGGGTTGGAAAGTTGGCAGTAAGAATGTCCCCCCTGTGCTTCCCACTGGTGACACTACACCTCTTATCTACCTTCTTTCACATACACTGTTTGTACATGTGAGGCAAATAGGATATCCTTTGCCCAGACATGGGTTCTTGTATAGAAGAAAAAAGCACTACCACCAACCCCCCCCCCAAACCCAAAACCCCCAAACATTATAAAAGAAGAGATAAGACAGGTTAGAGTTTCATTGCTATGCATGGCTTATTTTAGATACAGGTTGTATGGGCAAAGGTCTCATGATTGAAGTAAGGTGCCAACTCCATGTTATAGATGATGAAGCCGAGGTGAGCCAACTTGAGGTACTTTGAGAGACCATCTAGTCCATCCCTTGGCCTCTAGAGATTCTTTCATTGTAACTCCATATGGATATGAGCTCCTCCTCGTGGAATGCCCTTTCTCGGCTACCCTTCCACTTGATATTTGTACTTTCCAGGTGGGTGTCCTCACCCAACTGCTGTCACAGGCGGGTGGATCCATATTCCTAAAGCAATAACTCTCAAGCCTCCACTGGCAAGCTAACAAAGGTAATTGTGCCTCTTATTTCTTTACACTTGGAGAATTTTGTGGATTTTTTTTTATAGGAACCCATGTGGGATACTAGAGGTAGTTAGCATATTTGCTCTTTATGCATAAATGTCTTCTTTTAGTCAGTCGTAAGACACATTTATCTCAAAGCAAAGGCATTTACCTAAGATGATATAGTAAGAACAATAGCTAGAAAACATTTATTCCTCTGAAACATGGAGTACTTTCTGCAGAAGTGGGTACAGACATTTAATGCTATTAGTAGTGAAACATACACAGAGGAAACCCGTGTGGTCGAGGCAGCTCCTGCCTCAGCATCTCTGGGTCCTGATGTCCTGCTTCTTCGTGGTCACTTCTTGCCACTCCCTGTAGGGCCAGCATCTCCTTTGGGCGGATGGCTTGCGTGGGTGCCGCACGTCTGCCCCTTTGTGTCTCTTGGTGCTGGCTGGGGGATGCGGCGTTTCTGACGCCTGCTAAGGAGACCTCAGCGCGGTGGGGGAGTCGGGAAGAAGCCTGGGCTTTCTGGGGCTTCCCGGGGCACACAGGCAGCTTTCATCCTGCCAGTCTGGCCCCTCTTCTGAGTTTATCAGGGAAGCTTCTTCACATTTTGTAAAGGGGTGACCGGATATGAACAAGCCTTTGTACTTAGTTTAACATATTAGCATTTCATGTCATCTCATCTACTCCTTCTATGATCATATAAAAAAAATGGGAGCCTTGAGAGGGGAGTGCAGTTGGGGGATGGGGCTGGAAACAATGACCCTAAGAAGGAAGATTTCTTAGTGCTCTTCTGTGCATGTGTGTGTGACAACATGGACTGTTTTTCTCATCAGTCACTCTGATCTAGTCTCCCTTCATGCCGTTCTGACTTACTGTGCACCAGCCGGAGTGCACAGCTTGTCTTGTCCTTCGCGTGTCCTCTCTTCTGGAGCTGGAGGCCCACCCGTTTGACATGTACCTGTCTTTGCTTCATAGCTCGTGCAGATTATCATCAACACGACCCACTTGGAGAAATCCTGCAAGTACCTGGAAGAATTCATCACCAACATCACCAACGTGCTCCCTGAGACAGTCCACACCACCAAGCTGTACGGGACCACCACATTCAAGGTGAGAAGTGCCCACAAGCGCACTGGCTTCTGTGGATGGTGGCCTGGGCGTGGCTCTGGGCCGCCTGGCATGAACTGTGCCTCTGCTCGCTCCCTTGTTCTCTGGGCACTTTTATTCCTCTTCTTTTTATGGGCTCTGCCACCGTAGAAGAGTAGTCAGTCTGAGTGAAGAACGAAGAGCCCGGCCTCTGATGCTCACATTGCATTGTACCAATTCATACGGGTCTTCCCAGGCTTTTCTGAAACCATTCCCCTTCATCAGCACGATATGGTTCATCACATTTGTGTAGTATACTTTGTTCATTCCCCAATGGATGGGCATCCCCTCAGTTTCTAATTTTTTGCCATCACAAAAAGAGCTGCTATAAATATTTTTGTACATATAGATTCCCACCCCCTTTTTGATCTTTTTGGAGTACAGACCTAGCAGTGGTATTTCTGGGTCAAAGGCTATGGAGAGTTTTATAGCCCTTTGGGCATAGTTTCAGTTGTTTTCCAGAGTAGTTGGATCAGTTCACAACTCCACCAACAGTGCATTAGTGTATTTTTGGAGTTTTTCAATGTATTCACCAATTGCGTTAACTTTTTTCCTCTTCTCTTTCTTGCTTATCTTTAAAAAAAATATCATTTCTTATATGGGATAACTCTCTGGAAGGAGAAAGAAGAGGAATGTTGGGGAAAATTATGTGTTAAAAAAAGACAACATCAATAACACTTACTTTAAAATAAGATTATAGGATAGTTTCTGATGGGAAGATTAATTGACATTAAAATAAATAAAATAAAATAAATTGACATTAAAATAGAAGAAAAACTGCAAATAAAGTTGTGAAATATTCCTAGTATTACCAGTTTGTGATAGAGGATTTCCTTTCATGAGATGGCATTTTAGGAACAGTGTAATAGGATTTCGGAAAAAGAACTTTCTTTGGAATTAGGAGAGTATTGATCCTCGTTTTTTTACTCATGGCTTTTCGGTTTTGAAAGAGCTGCTTTTCATTTCTGAGTCTTGGTTTCTGACCCTTTTGAATGAAGGTGTTCTATCAGGACATCACAAAGGCCCTTTTACCTCAGTCAAGTTATTTCAGAATGATCTAGATGGTTTACTTTGACTCCTGTTTTATGGATAAGAATGAGATTTCTGCAAAGTGAGGCCTTAGCATAAATGTTATATAGGGAAGTTATTTGGGTCACTCTTAAGTCAGTGAGTATTTATTAAGCGCCTGCCCCTGGACTTAGTAAGTGCTGAGATTATAGAGAAAGGAAAAATACAGACAGTCCCTTCCCTCAAGTTGCTCACAGTCTAATGAGAGAGATAACATTCGAACAGCTGTGTAGAGACAAGCTATGAACAGGATAAATTGGAGATAATCTCAGAGAGAAGCCTTAAGGGGCAGCAGGAAAGACTTCCTGTGGAAATGGTGGGATGAAGCCAGGAAGGCCAGGAGACAGAGATGAGGAAGGAATTCTAGGCATGGGAAGGACCAGTGGATGTACACTGAGTCTAGAGATGGAGTAGCTTATGTAAGGATTAGCAAAGGTCCAGCTCTGTGGATATCAGAGCATGTGCTGAGGAGTAAGGTACAAGAAGACTGTAAATTAAGTGGGCACAGGTTGTGAAGGGCCTTGAATGCTGAACAGAGCATTTTGTAGTTGATCCTAGGGGCAGTAGGGAGTCACTGGAATTTACTGGGTTGAGGAGTGACCTGGTCAGACCTGTGCTTTCAAAGGTCAGTTTGATAGCAGAGTCAAGGATGGACTAGGGTGGGGACAGCATTGAAGCAAGGAGACTTAGCAACGGGTTACTATCATGGTCTAGTAATGAGGCGAGGAGGGCCTGTACCAGGGTGGGGGCCATGTCAGAGGTGAGGAAGGAGCATTTTGAGTGACGTTTCAGAGGAAGACTCCATTAGACTTGGCATCAGTTTGGATATGGGGGCTAAAAGTTGAGTTGAGAGCCAAGGATAGTACCCAGGACAGTGTGTGAGTCTGGGTGGCTGGTGTTGCCTCTGATAGTAATAGGTAAGTTACAAAGAGGGGAAGGGCAAACATAATTTTAGAGTTCACTCTGGGACATGTTGAGTTCAAGGTGTCTATGAGACTTCCAGTTCACAATGTCCAATAGGCAGTTGAAGATATAGTGCCAGAGGTCAGCAGAGAGATGAGGGCTGGACAAAGAGATCTGAGAATCATTAACTTAATGATTGTAATTGAATCATGGCAGCTCCTGAGCCCGCCAAGCAAAATAGTCTAGAGGGAGAAAGGTACCAAGATTTTGGGGGATGCCTATGGTTAAGAGCCATGAACCGGATGAAGATCAGTGGAGGAGGCTGAGAAGTGGTAGTCGGGTAGGAAGAGAGTTGAGAGAGAGCCTGGAGTGGGTCTTCCAGCCTCATTACCATTCCTCCCATTCCTCTGCTCTCACAGGCCACTGGAGCTGGTCTTCCCTTTGTTTCTCTCCCATGACACTCCATTTCCCCCATCCATCTCTCTGTCTTGGCCCTCACTTGGACGGCGCTCCCTTCTCAATGCAAGAGGCTGCTCAGAGACCCGCCATCCAACTGCTATTGACCTCTCTCTCAAACTGCCTTCTACTTACCTGTCTTGAATTTATCTTGTGTTGATGTTACATGTGTGTATTTAACATAAACTTATATACATACACATATGTACAAACACATACATATGTAATACATATATGCATGATGTTTCCACCAATGAAAGTAAGCTTCTAGAGAGTAGGGATTGTTTCATTTTTTGTGTATTCCTAGTGCCTGAAAATGTTTAACAAACAGCATTATTCTTTATGGCATTAGCTCTGTCTCCTGTTCTTCCCCCTGACCTGAGTTTCCCCTTCTCAAGAGCCATACAGCATACCTGGCCAGACAGCCACCATAAAAGAGGGTGGCAAATGGGTTCTGTTGTTGCTCTGGTATTAAAAATACAAAAGAAGGGCTATTAAAAATGGGCAGGGAGCCATAGGAGGTGTACTGCGAGTTAACTACTTAGCAGAGGGGAAGTTCTGGAGACCACTAAAGGCCGTGCTGACAGGACTTGTTGGAAACACCGAATGCTCTGAAACACATCGAAGTGTCTCTTTACCAGGACCAGCTAATTGGGCACTCAGTATAAACACAGCAATTACAATGGCTACAGGTTGTGTATTTTCCTAAGCTACCGTTTCCCCCAAACATTCCCTTGCAGATGGAAACCTTGTGCCAGATGATGAGGGGCAGGGGATCCAGAGGGCTTCCTAGTGGTGGCCTTGTCAGAATGCTTTGTATTTCTTCTGTGCGGACACAAACCTAGCTCTAGCACTTACCTCTTCTTGCTCCCAATGAGAAACAGGGTTGCTTATGGTAAGGAATCATATAAAAGCACTGGGGTGTGACCAGTAAGGAAGAAGGACCAGACTCCTACCAGTTATGCAGGGACAGAGATGACAAGTTCGTGGCGACCCTGACCTGCTTGTTAGACCCTGTTGTCACATCTGTGGGATGGAAGGGTCAAGGGGCTACCAGCGCTGATTCCTGCCTGACTTGGCACAGCTTTTCAGACTCTGTCTCCCTTCCCAGGATGCCCGACATGCTGCAGAAGAAGAGATTTATACCAACCTGAACCAGAAGATTGACCAGTTCTTGCAGCTGGCTGACTATGATTGGATGGCTGGGGATTCAGGCAGCAAAGCCAGCGATTATCTGACGGATCTCATTGCTTTTCTTCGGAGCACCTTTGCAGTCTTCACACACCTTCCTGTAAGTCATGGTCACACTGTTCCACACTCCTTTGGACCAAAAATGAGCCATTGATAACATTTTGTTTGTATGTCACCTTTATTTCTGAGCCTGTCCCTCCTCTCCTTCCCTGCCCTGTGCGCCATCCCTTGAAACAGAATCAAAAACAAAGAGAAAAGAGCAGCTCAGGGAAACTGTCCTTATTCTTTTCAAAAGAGTCTTGTCTTGAAGTACTGCTGCCCTTGGCAGGGCAGCTGAGTGGGCTGGGCATCGGTAGCACTGGCATCCAGAGGAGGAGATGACCCGTTCTCCTTATGTCCTCTTATCAGCAGTCTCTCCTTTCCATATGAGCCTGCTTTGACGTAGAGTTGAGCAGTAGAAAAGCTCAGCTGCAGCAGAAGGCAGGCACGCATCGTTTCGCATCCCCGACTCTTGATAGCCAAAAGCCTCCGGTCTGTTCGCCTTCAGATGTTCATCCAGCCAAAGAACTGGAGGCTCAGCTCGTGAAAGGTGATGCCGCAGCGTTGTCTCAGAAGTTGTGTTTGAGGAATTGGGCTGGGGTTGGCTCTTCGGTCAGAAATCCTAATGTAGCCCGTGGCCGCAGGAGTCCCTTGCTCCCCGATCCTGGTGGCAACTGCAGAGAGCCATAGGGAGCCCAAGATGGGATTCCCCCTTTCACCTGTGCTGGGATGTCTCCTTTCTGCTTGCTGTGATTTAACAGTCTTCCTGCCAAACCTTAACTAGAGGACCCTGCTCTTTCTGCTGCCCTATTCCCACTGTAGGGCAGCCAGGTGGCCCAGTGGATAGAGCGCCAGGCCTGGACTCAGGAAGATCTGAGTTCAGATTCAGCCTCAGATACTTAACAGCCAAATGACCCTGAGCAAGTCACTTCTGTTTCTCTCAGTTTCCTCATCTTTACAATGAGCTAGAGAAGGAAATGGCAAACCACTCCAGTATTTTTGCCAAGAAGACCCCACATGGGGTCACAGAGAGTCAGACATGACTGAAGACAACTGAACAGAACAGCAACCCTATTGCACCTTCATCTGTTTCTTTATTGCTGACTCCTTCGCTTTCTCCCCTCCATGTTAAGGATGCTTCACTAGTGCAGTGGGACCAGAGTCAAATGGAAATAGGAAATAGGGGCCACTAATCCCTCCATAAAGATCGCTGTGGACCACATTTTAACTTAGTTGTAAAATGTAATGTTATCTATGTTTAATTGTATTTTTGTTGATTTTGTTAAATATTTCCCAAATGCAATACATTCTGATTTGGACCTTACTTCAGGCTGAATTGTGACGTGCATATGGTGCACAGGCTACATGTTGACACCCCTGCACTAGAGTGCCTGGAACAAAGCCAAGTATCCCATTCTTTCTTTAAACTCATAAAAAAGGATTAAAGTTCCAGGCTTTGAATCCAGAATTTTCCACCTGTGTGACTATGGGTCAGTCACTTTCCTTCCCTAGCTGTGGAGAATGAGAGGTTGACCTTGCTGACCTCTAACGTCCCTCTGATTTCTGAGGTGCATTTTGCTAATTCCTTTATTCCGAAAGCTCCTCTTGTCTTTGAGATGGTCAGTTTTCTTGTTCTGGCCCTTGAAGCAGCAGCAGGCATTGTGCCAAAAGTCTCTGACTTCTCCACAATCCTGTGTGATTGACCCCCATGGGGCAGGCAGCCTTGCAGGTTCACTGTTGTTGCTGCTTAGCTTATGTGAGTGGCAATTTCTCACAGTGTACTCTACTTTGAAGGGGTTTGAGTAGGGACAGTGTCTTTTTGGTGATTAAAGAGAAGATCCCATCTTTTTACCCCCTTCTAGCCTCATCTGCTAGACTGGTCTACCGAGGATTAATGACAAGGCTATCTATATCTGAATTGGGCTAGAAGGAATGATGACAATAGCCAACATTTATGTAGCCCCTTAAGGTTTTAAATGGATGTAGAGTGGAAGGTCCTCTAAGATCATTTAGTCTCACTTTCCTCATTTTACCAATAAAAAAACCCATTCCAGACTCAGGGCATTACTATCCAGGGGGATTTGAACTCCTTGCCTCTAAAGCCCATGGCCTTTCAACTGTACTAAGCTAAGTTTCATATTTTTCCTGTGGGTTCTTTTCTGAGATGTGAGCATAATATAATGAGCCAAAAAGTACCGTGGGGTCCTGATTCCCTGTCTGGATTTAGGCTGCCTCCATGATGGATCTGGGCTCTGTGTGAGTCTAGAGAAAGGCCATCCTGAGCAGTGGGTGATATCTGGGCCATAGGCCCACAGAACGAAGGGAAGTCAGGAGAATACAGCTCCTGCCAAGTCCTGCCTTCATGTCCCTGTAAATAAGAAGTCCTTTTATGGAGGAAAATACCTGTCCACATCCTCTCAGCTGGCAACTCCTATGCAATCACAAACCGAAACGCAGTGACCAGCTGGTCTGAGTCAGCTGTCATATCTGTTCTCCTATGCTTCACTTCTCGGGGGAATTTATTGTAATTTCAAAGGCCTCTCAGCCCTTGGGAGACAAGAGGGTTCAGCAAGCTACCTCTTGAACCAAAATCATGATTTTCAGGTTAATCAGAGCCATTGCTGTCAGGAATGAAATGAAACACTTATTTTGGGTGCCCTGCCAACAGCATCATAGCCAGGAAGAAAGGGTGAACAGGGGCTCGGTGACCGCTGAGACCCCTTCTCCCCCTTAAATTCTATGATTCTGTGACAAGGTGCCTCTTTGGACTTCAGGTTTTAAGAGAACCTTCCTTCATCTACCGATTGTCCTGGCAGAGTCCGTCTCCCAGGAATTGTATAATGCTCCTTTACCAAAGGTCCTCAGCTAAGATAATTTAAATACTCAGGCCTCAGGGATCTAAAAAGATCATCCAGGGCATTGTAATGGCTTCATAAGGTCTTCTACTAGCGTCTTTTCCAAGGGATAGGGATTTCTTCCTCCAGAGAAGAAGATTCTGCTAACTCTTGATCAAACATTGTCCTTCTTCAGAAGACTGTTGTCAGGCAGTTTTTCTGCCCCTGCCCCTGCAAAACCACTCTTGCTGGAATTTCAGTTTATCTCTTCTTTATCAAGGTCTTGAATGAAATCAGAGGACAGCTTTTCACTCCTGTCTTTCTATCTTTGGAAAATATTTTATCATTCTTAATGATTCGTGGAGGAGATAACTTTTTGCAAAAAGAAGGTTTAATTCTCAACGCATTCCTTTTTGGAACTCTTTTGGGCTGTGTGTTTCTTAGTAACAGCCAATGATAGCTGCCGTTGACGGAGTGCTTAGTGGGTGCCAGGTGCCACACACTCGCGAAGGCCTTTACCGTTACCTTGTTTGATCCTCACAGCCACCCTGGAGACAGATGCTATTATTATCCTCATTTTACAGAAGAGGAAACTGAGGCAGACAGGGGAGGCCACTTGGCCAGGGTCACACAGCTAGAAAGTGTCTGAGGTCAGATTTGAATTCATGTGTTCCCGACTCCAGGTTGGCACTCCATCCAGTCATGACCATTACAGGTAGAAAAGAACAGTGTTTGAAGGTAAGGAAGCTCTCTTTGGGATTGGTCGATATCTTCAGTCAGGTCAGATTCAAGCTAGTCCCCTGCTAATGGAAAGCTGGACACTCCTTCAGTAGCTAGCCTGAGGAGGTTCACTGGGCCTGTGCCAGAGAAGGAGCTTCCACAAAGATGTGCACTGGGGTTGCTGCCGGGTGATTTAAGTGAGGGGAGCTCCCTGACCTCAGAGTTGTGCCCCACGTCAGATGAGTCTCCAAGAGAGGCTGAGCTTCCAGGGAAGAGGAGAAAGGCCATCCTGTCAAGCCTAGAGCCTGATCTCCTGCCTTGGGGGAAGAAGAGTGACACCATTCCTTCAGCTCTAATATTGTTCCCTTGCCTGAACTGTGTAAGGACTTGAGAGGTCTCCACTCAGAGGATAAACTCTTTGGGCAGTGAAAATCTATCCAAAACCGTTACTCAGTGATTAACATTGACACCCCCACCCCTGTCCTATATCCTCCTCATTCCAGTGATTCTGAACCCCTAGCTGTCATTCAAATCCCATTCCTCAACACCCCCCCCATACCTAACCCCTTACTCCCACCCCCACCACTTCTGCTCTGCTCTTTGGAATGCCTCCTCCTTGGTTAACAAACTTGCTTTCATCTTAAATCTTTTCCTTTCTCACTCCTTCCATCTTCTGGCTCTCACTGAGAACCTGCTTCCTCCTGATGACACAGCCTCCCTGGTCCCCTCTTTCCAGCACTGACCGCACTTTTATTCATTCCCCCTCACTAACTTATCAAGGTTACTCCTTGCTCCCTATTGCCTCTTCCAGGTTCTTCCTCTGCCATCATTATTCTGTAACCCCCGCTCCTTTGAGGTTCATTCAGTCCATATCTACCACTCAATAAAGGGTCAAAAGATTTGTTCAAACAGCTCTCAAAAGAATTGAAAATTATTGACAGCCATGTGAAAGTTGGATCTAAATTGCCAATAATAAGATAAATGCAAATTAAAACAACTCTGAGCTTTCATTCCACATTCCACAAATTGTCAGCAATAATAGTAGATGGAAATATTCAAAGCTTGAGGGATTGCCGAAAGGCAGGCATAATGTAGTCCTCTCCCACAGAGTGGGTTCCCATTCCCAGAAGGTCTTCCTCTGAAGACTGTTGTTGGGATGTAGTTAGGTGGTCCTGTGGGATCTCTTCCAACTCAGAGAGGATGGGATTCCAGGGAAGAAAGCGAAAAGGAATTTTCAGACGTGGTGCGCCCGTCCTTCAGCGTGAACAGTTGCCAAATTAATTGGAATTCTTTTGGAGAGAGAGATTTGAGTGGCAGAAAGTGGCTGTCTAGAGGCACTTGGGATGTAATAGACAAAGAGGCAGATGTTGTTTTCATACAAGGAGGTGGCCAGCTTCTCAGCTTTCTCAGAAAAGCCCAGCCCTCGCAGTGGTCAGAGAGCCCAGAGAATGCTCTAGTCACGTCCTCCATTGCATTCTGTGAGGCTGCCACCAATGGTAGATTGATG